GAATGGTCCCTTAGTGACTTAGGTTAGTTCACTCAATCAACAAACATTCACAGAGTCCCTAATTTGTGCAAGGCACTCTATTAGGTGCCTGAGAACACAGTCTGGAGAGTTCTTTCTTGCCTTCATATCTCAGGTCAAAGGTCACCTGCCACTTTGTGGACACCGCCCTTCCCCCCAGTAAGGAAGAATGAAAGTCTCCCATGGGGCTGTGGTCTCCTAGCATGGCCTACATACCTCTCCGTATGTGATTATTTGTTTATGTTTGTCTCCCTCACTTGAGCAAATTCTTCCAAAAGCAAACACTATCTTAGTCAACGCTGTATTCCCAGCACAGTACACACATAGCTGGGGATCAGTACAAATTAGTGGAATGAATATATTTTACAGATAAGGAAACTAGAGCTCAGAAAAAGAAAATGACATGTCCAACATTATACAGCTAATAAATAAGTAATACTCGGTCTTAGAAAGCCTCACCAGAGCTTTCTTCTATTCCACCATGCTGCATCACACACGGACAGGATGAGTAAGAGAAAGATCTTAGAGTTCTTCCTGGAACCCCCAACTCAACATGTCCAAAAGTTCCTCCTTCTCAAAAAAAACAGACAGAAATCTGGTCCCCATCTCTTTCCCGTAAATGGCAAACCCAGTGGCTCAGGAAAAACTAAAGTCGTCCTGACTTCCTCTTCTCCCTATCCCCACATCTCATCAATCAACAACCTTATCAATTATAATCTTCAAACTTGGTGTCTCTCCAATCTCTTCCCTTCTCTCCAAGCCTTCCGCCACCACCCTAGATCCAAGCCACCATCATCCCTTACACAGACTACAAAAATGACTTGCTACTTGGTCTTCACATGTTCACTTTGGCCAATTCTCTCCAATTTCTTCCCCACTTAACAGCCATGGTGATGTTTTTAATATCATATCATTTAATATCAGTAGAATGATATGACATGTAACTCATCTAGCTCATTAAAAGCCCTTCACTAGGTGCTATTGCTCTTAGGATAAAGACTGAATTCACCTGCAGCTCAGAAAACTGCCCACTCTCTAGCCTCTGCCCACCTCTCCAGCCTCATTCTTCATTCTGGTCTCTCACCCCTTGTTTTGCCCCCATACTGACTGACTTCCTTTCAAATTCTCATACCACTCTTTTCATTGTACTTTGAACATATAGTTCCCTCTATCAGAAACTCTTTTTGTCCCCCTCTAAGAACCTCCTATTGCTGTCTTAAATTACTTCCACTCACTCTTCAAGTCTCTTGAAATGTCACTTCAACAGGAAACCTTCCCTGATGCCCCCAGACCAGTGGAGAGCACCAGGTAGGCACTCCTATTCCACCTTGTAGTACATCCCCCTTTGGCAGTAACATTCATCACACTTGCAATTACTTGTCCAATGATTGTCTCCACTATTAGAATATAAACTCCACGAGGGCAGGTGAAGCTTCTCTTTTCGCTGATGTATCCACAGTCTTTAGAACACAATAGCTGCTCAATTAATGTTTGTTGTCAGACTGACAGGCTGGGGCCAGATTGTAGCAGATTATGACATGAGGCCAAGTAATCCAAGGTGCAAAGACCATTATCCCTTTGCAAATATGTAAACTGAGGCAGAAAGAAATGCAGTCATTCAAGGTCACAGAGATAGTAGCGATGGGGCCAAATCTAATCCATCATTCAGCTCATTTCTCCTCCCTAAAACACTAAAAAGCGTGGGTGGGAGAGGGAGCATCTTAAAAGACGAAAATTAGGAATGAGACGATGGTGAGAGAGAGGTCCAGGATGACAGCTTTTGAATCTCCCTGTCATACAAGTTGCCTCCAGATGGACAGCAGTTAAGGCTTTCCACGCCTAGAGAAGCACAAATGTTAAACAAACATAACCAGCACCACGCCCTTCTCCTTAGGAGGGGGTACAAAATAACAAACCTCTTTCATCCACAAAGAAGAAACCACAGGAGGGAAAGCTGTTGCCGCTCCAAGTGTCTTCAAAAAAACAAACGGGCAGTCTGGCCACCTGGGCTGCTCCTCAACACTCGACAGGGAAGGAAGGGGAAAAGACACCCTTCCCACCACTTACTGGAGCAGGGATAAGGAAAAAAAAATGTATTAAATGAGGCAGAAGCCATTTGAAGTCTACTTATTCTTTGAGAATTATGAGAACAATTCACATAATGCATTTGAAAACCTTGCTAACCCACTGGCGGTTCTTAATACAGGTACCCATGAAAGGAAAAGTGGCACGAGCTCAATTGCAACATTTCATTGTCCACATGCTGCCAGGGCCAAATGATTTCTGTCACAGAAGCCACAATACCAGGCCAAGGGGTCAGGCTCGTTGCTGCTCATCCTGCCTAGCACTGACTGCAAGAAAAAAAAAAGGCAAAGAGGACTCTGTAGAATAAATATTCACACAGTCTACATCCACCCTGGACTTTCTGGGTGAGGAGGTTATTCAGAGACTGGAAAGAGTCTTAGAGAAAGAGATGTGATATATTGGTGCTAAGAGGGAGATTTTGAAATAGAGAGAAAAATGAGAATTGCAGATGGAAACACCAGGGAAAGAAACTGAAAGAACTTCAAGCGACGTAGACGGGTGGGGAAAGGAAGGTACAGGGGAAAAGGGTAGGGTGCCCAGAAAAGCGGACAGTAAGCAACAGAGAGACGAAAAGAGAGGCAAAGCCAGGCAGTCCATCTTTTTGCAAATCCAAAAGCGCTCATGGTATCTCAATAAATCACTCTCCTACAAAGCCCATACAATGGACTGTCCTTGCATTCAGTAACAAGCAGCATTTAACGAAGCATCACCCAGCTGCAACTTTGGAGACCTAAAGGTCTGAATTTAGAATGAACAAAATTGGTTCAGCATCAGGAAAAAACCAGTAATGACTTTTCCCCCTGTGCCTGACTTGGCTATGAAAAGGTTTGGTACTTTAGAGTTAAGCATAAAACACTCTGCATTTCTCCTTCTTTTGACATTCCAAGAGGGGGTGTGGTTGACCCCAGGTCCATTCATTTCCAAGGTTGTAGATCTCTCAGCAAAGACTGGCCCCATCTGTTCTGGAGTCAGCCAGCTGTTTTTCTCAAAGTAACATATTTATTGTACTAATCATCCTAATAACTCTTACAAGAACAGAGCCAATATCATACAAGTCAGACCGCTTTCTGCCCTCTTAAAAGTGTCAGTTCGTTTAAAAACAAAAAACAAACGGAAAAAAACACTGCTATGCTCCTCGGTTTCCCTGGCCAGGATCCCCCTTCCATGGGTAGCTTTCAGTAATGGTTTGAAGGTTAACAGCGCTTCTAACTATCCCTTTCCCTAATGTGTTAAAATGAACCCAGGTTTCCCTAATGATCGCTTCCCCAAACCGTTATTTGTGACTGGTGACTTGCCTCAGGAAATAGCAGCTCATTATGGTACCATTCTCAGTGGCAAGGAGCCTATTGCAATGTAATTTAAAACACTCACACAAGCACAAATCTGTCGACTCCACTTCCAAACAATCCTGAAATCCTGTAGTCGGGAGAGGAAAAACACTTAACAAAAAATGCTGCTTCCGTAGCCTAAGAGAACCTTTCCCAGACACGTGAAATGTTTCTGACCGGCACGGAGTGCACCATTAAAGGACACTGTCACCTCAAATTAGCAGAAAAGGCGAGACAAACGACATAGACACACACATGAAATAGAGCCCCACAAAACAACCTACTCAGAAGAAGCACGCTGATCTAAAAAATAGTGTGTGCTAGCCCAAGCGACACAGAAACGTTCTAAAGTAGTGCGACCACATTAAATCACTGTCTCCGTTTCTCCCCACGCATCACCCCTTCCCACTCAAACCTCAGCCCTCGGGCCGTATGTGACAGGACTGCAGTCCTCCACCTCTGCCTTCTTCTGATCTTCCAAGAGCACTTCCCAACATCCTCCCCAGCCCATTCCCCTGTCCAAGCCTCAAAAAGGTTGAGGAGAGTTGCGATGAGGGAATTGGCAAGCATTGGTCCTCTGGCGAGGGAAGGTTGCTGGAGTTGTTCTTTGCAGTGACCCAAATTGCACAGAGCTTTTCGCTTAGCAGCTCTTACGAGCACCTCCCCAATCCTCCCGCCCCCATCTTCCCAAAAGAAAGCCTTGAGAACTAAGCGGGAGGAATAACTTGGTAGAACCATTTGAATAAAGCACTTCAACTCACCTGGTTTGGGATTTTTCTCCCCACCCCAGGCATAAAAAGAAATGATGTGCGAACGAGTCACGCACGCAAGGGAAGGTGTTGCGTTGTCCTAAGTCCAAGGGCTGGAGTCAGTCCCTGCCCTGGTGCTGCTGCTACTCTTAGCTCAGCTGGAGCGAGCGGCAATCGCAAGCCCAGCAGCAGTAAGGGGGTGGATAGACCGTAGCACAATGAATGCAGTGAGGTTTTTGCAATGACATCATCCCTCTGTCCGAAAGGCCCCAATAGCCATGCTCAGGAGCGCTGCATTCTGGGAATTGTAGTCTTCTTACGGCCTGGCGAGACAACGAGGCTGTCGCCGGAACTACAATGCCCAAAATGCGCCAAGGTCGGACGCGCCCCGAGCGGACGAAGGGAACTCGGCAGCCATGTTAGGAGTGTTGGGACGATTGTGCGGAGCCGGGCTGTGGCTTTAGGGAGCGCGGGAGCCGAGTGGTGGTGCAGTGGGGACGGTGAGGTGGAGGACAAGCCGATGGGAGAGCCAGGGGCCCGAACCTAGGAACCGGGGGGTGGAGGCGGTATCTGGGGACAGATGTAGGGCGGGTCCGGGTGGAGGCGGCATCAAGAGGGCGAGTGGGCCTCGGGGTCACGGTCCTGCAGGGGTTGCACAGGGCCCTTACGCCTCTTGCTCCATTTTCTAACGGCGGTATTGAAGGAGTCAACTTACTTCTGGTTCAGAGCATCATTTAGACTCTGTAACAGTCGGGGCGGTTGGTATCTTTGTTGGGGTAGGGGGACTCCGGGCGGCCACCCTCTCGCCTTTGGTCGGAGAACCTTCCACCTACGGAGTTGGGCCGTCCCTCCCAAATCCCAAATTTATTTTTATCTCCTTGTCATTTATTTTTAACCTTTCTGACCGTTCCCCAAGGTTTCGGACCCTCGTTGGTTTTTCTTATAGGAATGATTTGCAAAAGGGTCCAAAGAAATCAATGTTGAAAGGTAGCCAAGCTGGAAAGGGACGGTCTATTGGCCCCACAGTTAAGAAGACAAGGAGAGGCCTAAAGGAGCAACGCACCGGTTTAAAACGACGTCTTTATACCTGCCAGAGAAAACAGGGAGATGTTGAAAGGGGATGTTGATGATGGGCCTGTTGACGGCTGGCCATCGGTTCCGAAGTAACACGGGTTCTTGGATAAACCTAGAGTGTATGTAAAATACTGCGGACACGGGATGTTTATCAGCATGGATAACCAATTTATTTTAAAAATGTCTTTAGTGTTTAATTTGTGGTACTCCATATTTGCGACTACTTTAAGAACTTTTTTTTTTTTAAGTAAGTAACTGAAAGTCATTTAGGTCAGTATTTCAAATGAACTGTATTTTTTCCCCAATTGTGTTACTAAAACAATGCTGTGTGTTTGTTCTTTTTCAGAGTCTGTCTACACTATGGAAAGATGGGAAATTTCTTTACCTCCTGAGGGTGTCTGAAGGGTTAAAAATGCTGATATTGTGCTGTTTTTCTCCCTCCCTTTTGCACATTATTCTGAAAACAAAATTTGGATCAGTAAGGGTGTGCACTTCACCTGTTAGGAGTTAATAAAATTATAGCTGATAAATGGATTCTCCTATCAAAGAAAGGCTAAAGAGAGTGATTACAAATGACAAAAACATGGTAGAAGCAGTCTCCGATATATGCCGATAACTGCTAAACCAGTTTTATCAAGAGTGATCTTATATGTCATGTTTTAGGGAACAAGTCATTTACAAGATAAGTGGCTTTGTTCCATTTTTAAACATAGGTAATATGTATTGGTTTCATTTATCCGTGAATACAACAATGGGGAGGGCTCATGCAAATGTTTCTGTTGTTTAGAAATACCTTCTTTGTGAGTATTGGTGGTAAGTATAGGAGAAGGAACAAAATGTTTACTATTTTCTTTCTGACCTTCAATATAATTATAGAACTGTTTTAAGCTTAATAGAAATAAAATAGACTGGCCAGGTTTACATTTAGGCCTGGTTTCAGACTCTTAAATTATTTTTAGGGGTTGGTGATTCAGAGATGTTCTTGTGTCTTATACAAACTTATAGTGAATATTGTTCATTTTGTAAGATATTTCTTTATATAAGCACTAACCTCCTCAGTTTGAGTTACTATGGAAGACAGATTTGTGGGAGGTAAAAAACCAGCGGATTTCTCAAATCTTGTGTGTGAGAAATGAGACCTGTGTAATGTAGTGATTGCTATAATTTATCATGTGTCATGTGTAACTTCATAGTTTAAAGTTTTTCCGGCCTTATACACAATGGACATCTAACCATAAAGAAATGAAGCAAATCTAGCTAATATCTGAAAAAAGACTCCATTTTTTAACCCTTAACTTTTAGGGAAAAAAATCCTACACTCTTCTTTAGAAATCTCATTTACGAAATTAATATTTGAGGAGTTGGTGATGCCTGCTTCTGAAAGAATAACCTCAGTGTCCTAGAGAAAACACTGGGTTAGGAATTTGAAGTTTTCCACTTTGAAAAGTGGAATCAGGAATGCCTTAGGTAGATAAAGAAACCTACGTTTTCATCTCTCAAAAAAGAATTAGTACATTGATTTGTGTTAAAATTATAGGTAGCTCAAGTCAATTGTTGTTACAGAGCAAAGGTTTTTTCAACAGGGTTAAGTGTCAGGACCACCTGTAGAACTCTCAAAATATTAATCTGCAGGGCTGGAACCAGCTGTTGTGTATTTTTAAAACTATAGGTGAGGGCCGGCCCCGTGGCTTAGCGGTTAAGTGCGCGCGCTCCGCTGCTGGCGGCCCGGGTTCGGATCCCGGGCGCGCGCCGACGCACAGCTTCTCCGGCCATGCTGAGGCCGCGTCCCACATACAGCAACTAGAAGGATGTGCAGCTATGACATACAACTATCTACTGGGGCTTTGGGGGGAAAAATAAATAAATAAAACCTTTAAAAAAAAAAAAAAAACTCTAGGTGAGTGTACAGAGGTAGGGTAGAGTAGTCCTCCACATCCCCTGTTTGTGTTTTTTTGTGGTGTGTCACGGTAGTAATAAGTTTTGGCAAAAGATTTTACATTTATTACTAATAATATCCATAAATGAATTCTGAAAATGTTTAGACGAGGAAATCACCTGGGGATCAGTTTATACATGGTAGTTGAGGGGGAGGGATGGAAGATAGAGAAGATCAGTTTTAGCCTTAAGAAGACCACAATATCCTGACTTAATCTGGATATTTCTTAGAGTGAGGGTTTAGCCTAATGCTGAGAAAGTCTGATGGTTAGAGACACCCAGTAAGAACTCAGTGCTATGACAAAATTATGGTAAAGCTATTTAGATATTTAAAAGAAATAGAAGTATCTAGACAGGCAACAAGATACTAGAATTTTCTGAAAATAATTTTAATAACTGCTTGCTTTAAATCCTAAATTTTTTAAATTATTGATGTTATCTTAGTATTCTCTATTTATTTTTTTGTGTGTGAGGAAGATCAGCCCTGAGCTAACATCTGATGCCAATCCTCCTCTTTTTTTTTTTCTGCTGAGGAAGACTGGCCCTGAGCTAACATCCGTGCCCATCTTCCTCCACTTTATATGGGATACCGCCACAGCGTGGCTCGACGAGCGGTGTATCGGTGCGTGCCAGGATCCCAACCTGCGAACCCTGGGCCTCCGCAGCGGAGCGCGCGCACTTAACCGCTTGCGCCACCAGGCTGGCCCCTGTCTTAGTATTCTTGATGTTTGGGTGCATGATATATAATGGAAATCTTTTTTTTGGCTCTAAATTCTTTCACTTAATTACTAAATTTAGGGTCTTTACATTCAAAATCCTGTAACATTCTTTCATCCGATACCTGCTAAAGAATAAAAACAAGACCCAAGAGAATAAGCATTTGAAATTTTTAAAGCAGCGCCAAGATTCAAACACTTAATGGGCCCATCTTTTTTGGAGGAAAAAGATCCTCTTAGAGAGGGTATATGAAAACTGACTGCCTTTAGTGTTCTGGAGAACAATACCATGGCCTCTGGATTCCTGTTGCTTTAGTTTGAAATCTATCTTGAATGGCTTGCTCAGTATCACAGAAATTACTAACATTCTAAGCCTCAGTAGTAATAGCCTCATAGCAGTGTTGGTGAGGATTAAACAAAATAATCTATGTAAAGCATTTAGCAGAGGACTTTAAAACATGTAAATTTGTTGTGGATTTTTTTTTTTTTTTTAAGTTTTTAAAAAGTAGTCCCAGGGGCCACCCCTGTGGCCTAGTGGTTAAGCTTGGCGCACTGTGCTTCAGTAGCCTGGGTTCGTGGGTTTGGTTCATGGGTGCAGATCTATACCATTTGTCAGCCATGCTGTGGCAGTGACCTGGGTACAAAATAGAGGAAGATTGGCACAGATGTTAGCTCGGGGCGAATCTTCCTCAGCAAAAAAAAAAAAAAAAAAGTACTCCCAGAGTAGTTAGGGCCCCAAGGCGAGGGATTACCTCAGATGCACTCTTTCAACAATTCGTTGATAAGTGAAACTTGTGTGACTAAGTTCTTATCCAACTACAGTTCCATTTCTTCCTTGGATATAGTGATGATATAGGGCAACAATTTTTTTCAACCCATATCACTTAATAAGGAATACAAAATTCCTGTTTCCGAGTTATGTTACTAAGAGATTATGGTAGTGCCTGGGGTGGCTGAAGTAAAAAAAATTACGTAACAGTAACTGGTTTTGCTTATGCACCTGTGTAGTTTGAAAAAGCCCCACAGTTGCTAATGAAAATCAGGCCCTGTCTTCATTGAGAATCACTAGTTAATTCTCTAAAAGAAAATGATATTCTGAATTACAAAAAATGCTTCATACCTTACAAAGTTCTCAAGTAATGCTTTTATAGTCCGCGCTATGAGAGAACAGCTATCTGTCATGTTTGCCTTTCTGTTTATGGTTTCCAAAATAGAATCAATTTTCTTACCTGTCTCAGAAACGAAATGCCAGTAACTCAGGAGATATAGACCTAGCAGTTACATTAAGAATTATTCTGACCTAATCACAGAGTTGAGACAAATTTAAGGGAGAAAAAAGAAAAGCATTTTACCAAAAGATACCTTTTCAGACCTCACCTTAGATTGAGTTAAATATTTTCTAGTGTACATTTGTATAAGTGGACGTAGATGAGCATGCCGTTCAGCGTTCAACAGTTGAAGTTTCCCTAGGGAAGATCTTTAACTCGTTCTGGAAACTTAATATTTCATATTTTGAACATTTTGAGTTAACAATATTCAGGAACTGAAACATTTTCTAGTCTTGTTTAGTGGACCCACTGTTGTGTTTATAACAAACTCGCATAATTTTAGCAGCTGGATTTAATATGCCACTAGAGGTAAATGCAGTAAATATCCCAAGGTCAAGATTTGAAATCCAGATTCCACAGTTCATGATTAACCAGAAAAGTGAGCCCTCTATCCTATGATTTTTATTTCTCAATTTTTAATAGGTTTGGATAACTAAGGTGGCACCAGAAAACATTTCTTTGCTAGAGTAGGTACAGATCTTCCTCAACTTACCGTGGGGTTATGTCCCGATAAACCCATTGTAAATTGAAAATATCGTAAGTTGAAAATGCATTTAATACACCTAACCTATCAAACGTAGCTTAGCCTAGCCTACCTTAAACGTGCTCAGAACACTTACATTAGCCTAGAGTTGGGCAAAATCATCTAACGCAAAGCCTATTTTATAATAAAGCATTGAATATCTCGTGTAATTTAGTGAATACTGGACTAAAAGGGAAAAATAGAATGGTTGTATGGGTACAGAATGGTTGTATGATTTGTTTACCCTTGTGATCACATGGCTGACTGGGAGCTGCAGCTCGCTGTAGCTACCCAGCATCACGAAAGAGTATTGTACTGCATATCGCTAGCCTGGGAAAAGATCAAAATTCAATACTTGAAGTATGGTTTCTGCTTAATGCATATCGCTTTCACACCATCATAAAGTCGAAAAACTGTAAGTCAAATCATAAGTTGGGACCATCTGTATATGAAGATGAGTTTAATTGAATATATGTTCATGAATATAGCCATTTAAGGAAACTGCAGAGATGTGCAATTATAAGCAATTATGTAAGTAGGTACATATTCATAATTCTTAATTTGATACAGAATCTTTGAGGATCCTGTAAGTTCTATCTTAAAACATTTTAGGAAATGTTCATCAGAGTCACCCTCTTCACCTAACTCCTCGTTTGATGAGTTTAGCACCTAGGTGCTTTTCAGATTGAATAGCCGGGAGACCTGTTTGAGCTACTTCACTACCAGAAGATAAAATTCAGTAACCGTAATCCTCGACATAACTTAAGTGATAAACTTTTTTAAGACTTTGAGCCAAAATAAAATTCAGCTTTCCTCCTACCTTACCCTCCCTCACCAGACTTTTAGTCATTAATGTATCAAGTGGGATCTTTTATAGTTTCCTAGCAGTTGTCCGCATCAAGGTGGACCACATTTGTTTTTTTGGCTCAATGTCAGCATATGTAGAGCCGTTTCGTTGTGAATGTTTTGTAGTATTTTATATACAAAACAGAAAAATACAGAAAAACTTAAGTTTCTAAACATGCTGAATTAAAGCAATTGCCAAAGCGGTAATGTATAAAACTATGCTATTGCAAATAGCGTAGTAGAGCACTTCCATTACAGTTGTATACAACT